AATAAAGTATTCTACAGTAGATTATATATGTTAGGATACATGTCCATGACGATTTATTTCACAATTGGATCAAAGATGGTCGACTGGCAGGCATCTTGTTTTTGTTTTTTTATGTGGTATCTTGGACGTGCTCTGTCAGTTTTCATTCAAATTTGGCACATACATGTACTTTATACATGTTAGGATGCATGTCCATGTCAATTTGTTTCAAAATCTGGTCAAGGATGGCCGATTGACAGCCATCTGACTTTTTGGCCTTACTACTTCCACAATTTATGTACCATTTTCATTCGTATTTGGCACATACATCATACATATCAGTGTGTTTCATAATCAGATCAAAGATGGCTGAATAACAGCTGTTTTTATTTTGGCCATATTACTATGACACAAAACACGTGTTTTGATGTAAATAAACAATCTGTTGTATACGCCACTTGGAACTCAAGTTTCAAGGACACGCTCGTGACAACCCCTCCGCTTTAATATGACGAGCACAAAGAGAACTTAACGGGGACTGTGTCATTTTCAATGACTTGTTACTTTTGTTATTAATGCCTTTTAATTTTATTATTTTACTTTGATTTTGTGATTTTTTGAATATTGTCATCTAATTGGCTGACAGTACTTGCAAACAATAGACGGTCAGCAGGATGGTCTGTCAATTAAGCTATAGCTAACGATATTGTAGGCTTAGTGTATAAATTCATCTTGAGGATCATTTGATATTAATGTAGCAACACTGCACTAGGGCTTTCTTCCCTAGTTGTAACAGTCAGGGTCTCCTTCCCTGAATGTTGAGGTTAGGGGACCCTTCCCTCACCTCTTCTTTTGTTATTCTTATCAGGAGCAGTTCTTGACGGAAAGAATAAAGGTAGATGGTAAAACTGGTAACCTTGGAAATAATGTCAGTATTGAACGCAACAAGAGTAAACTTATTGTTACTGCTGATATAGCATTTTCTAAGAGGTAAGGAATATAAATGTTTTGACAGCTAGCTAGCTAGTTGGGTATAGCAGCCTAAGCAATTCAGTAGGCATGAACTGTCAAACCTGTGTACAGCAACCAGAAGAAAGAGGTTGATGCAGCCCTCTAAGTAACGACTAAAATGGTCGCCAATGCGAGTAAATTCATTAATTGGCAACTAAAAATATTTTCCAGGTCGCCAAAAGGCGACTCAAGGAAATTCCGTTGGCGACCAGTACACTCCTACTGAGAATAAGGTTTTGCATAGTTTGAATGCTTGGTGGCGCTTATTTACCCATAATCCATTGCGCGCGCATGCGCATATGTCTATATACGTCCATGATGGTTGTTTTGAAATGAAACGTCAGACAATTGAGTCGTTTTTTTAGTAACGCATCA